GATCCGACAATCAGTTGCTGAGATCTACTCAAAACAAAAGAAGAATAATAATAATAAGAATAATAATTTTAACAAAAACAATAGTGTTTCACACAAGCTACGCAGTGTGAAACCCTAATAATAATTTTAACAAAAACAATAGTGTTTCACACAAGCTTCGCAGTGTGAAACCCTAATAATAATTTTAACAAAAACAATAGTGTTTCACACAAGCTACGCAGTGTGAAACCCTAATAATTTTAACAAAAACAATAGTGTTTCACACAAGCTACGCAGTGTGAAACCCTAATAATAATAATAATATCTTTAATAGGGTCAGAAATTAGGCCAGGCCTTTTAACAATGTCAAGACGTGGTTATGCTTCTTAATTCCCGCCTACAAATGCGTTAGAATTTCTGCTCAGCTAGCTATTGCTTAGCTCCTCCCCTTTTTGGTATTTTGAACGGTGCGCTATAGCATCAACCTGGTGCTTCGCCAGGGACTAGGTCGTTTCATGCCACTACCGGTTCATCTAGGCTGTTTCATCCCAAATTTATATGGGTCATTTCATCCCACTTATATCAGGATGTTTCATCCCACAAATTTATACATTAATAACAATAACAATATGTCAATGCACTTGAGAGAATACTCTTCTAAACATCGCTAAATAAATCAGTAACTTTTCTTCCACAAGTATGTGTCTGTGTTAGTAATGTCGCATGATACCCCAAGATCATTGGTTGTCGATTCTTCGTCGGCATTGGTTGCGGCACTCGATACATCATGACGAAAATCTGGTACCATTGATGCGGCAAAATTGGAGTTCCATGGTTCAGCAAAGTGATGTACTTCTTCGTCAGTGTTGGTTCTCGGTAAGCTACTTCTTTAGTAACGCAATCGAGCAGCGAGATAATCTTGAATATGAAAATGACTAAAATAAATAATCAATAATATATAAAATAGGCCTACTATCACTAATTAAATAATATATATTCTTCAAAAAAAGAAACGCACAGTGAGTGACATTTCGTCGTCGGTATACCCTCACTCTACTATCACCTCGTGGCAACAGGAACCGCAATTGTTGTTCGCTGAACCAAACTGTTCTCCAGCGTTGATGTGGCCATACCATGTGTCTGAACCCATTGAAGTCGGATTTGTCAGTGTCGGCGTATTTCAAAACAGCAGCTCTAACCGGACATCTGGCTCGTAATCAGATTTCACGTAGGCGTTTACGGACTGTCTGGTCTGAGATCCTACGCTGTCCAGGAATTGCTGCAGCAGTAGCGAGGTCGCTGTTGTGAACCGTTTCCGCAAATGACGTAACTGGATATGAAGATCCGGGGCAGGTGGGGTCACTCTTGTTTGGCCTGAACTTGGGCGGTCACGTGTTGAACTTCACTGTCGGTACCTATCCCAAAGGCGAGAAATGGTACTCTGGGAAACATTCAGCAACCTGGCTACATCTGTCTTGGATTCACCTACCCGTAACCGACTGATAGCGTTGTTGCGTTGGTCTTCTTTCAGATATGGCATCACTTGGCTCGTTGAAACCGAGAACCCTGGGATTTTAAAGGCCTTCGATTTTGGTTTTGTGCGAAAAGCTTGCAAAGTTGTTAAACTCGTGTGTTTTGGTGCAATCAAGCGAAAACAAACTTCGGCAAACAGCAAGGGCGTGGATTTGTTATTTCGATGAAAGCTGTAACTAGGGGTAATATGATGACGATATGGAAACATTAACTACCTACATCAAAGCTGCACAAATATTAATAAATCATGAAGTTAAGCGAATCGTCCAAAGACGATCATTCTACGATCAGGACTGTTCTCTATGAATATCTTGGCGACATGCTTTGGGCCATGATCATGAAGGAGGCCATTATGCAGTGCAGTCGTTTTTGCGTCATGGAGTTGCGCAGCCAAGTTTTGATACGACGCAGAGTGCTGAAGGATGTCCCAGGTACTTTTATGTAGAAGTTAACAAATTTACCTGCTAATATTCGTAGATCATGAAATATAGCCGTCTCGCGCAGAAGGGAAGGCGTTTTTTGTTTGGTTGATTTATTATTTTGATTGACAGCTGCGATCGGTCAATTAAGGGGGGAGGTCGTGAAGATCAGTAACTGTGGCGAGACCCAAGGCGGTGGCTAGATAGCCTTTAGACCTATCCCCCCCCCCAAATGCACACCCAAGGCAAACAGTATGACCAGTCACAATTATTGGCCCTACATTTAAAACCAATAATGAATTTTGTTTATCCCTACACAATGACATTACCAGTAAGATTTATGGAAACAAAGAGAGAGAGAAATGGGGTTTAACGTCCACTCGACACAAACTAGGTCATTTCGGGACACATGGTTCAATTTTATTTCAATAATTCGCATGCGCGTAGGGGTCTTTAGCAGTGGGAGGAAACCGGAGGACCCGGAGAAAACCCACGAGATTGGCGACCCTACTCCTTGTCACGTACAACCGGGGATTCGAAACCACGCCAGTCGACTCAATGACAGACTTTATGATACAGCGCGCACGCTAACCATTCAGCCATCCCCCCCCCCCCTACATTGACAAACTATCAAAGTTGGATAATACTGAACTTTATTAAGTAATTACGTGGAGGGGGGGGGGTATTTAAAATAGACTGGATTTACTATCACTAATTAAATAATATATATATATAATATTTAAAATAAACTGGATTTATAAAATGGTATAAATACATATACTAAACAGCAAAAAAAAAAACTAAAAAAAAAAAACGTCAGTACGATTTCAAAATCAGAGAGGCAATGTAATCAAATCATTCTAGAAAACGACTTACTAAATGGATCAAAGCAATTTTTTGTGAACAGTATATTGACACATTAGTGATTAATTCATCACAATTCCAAAATTTAGAGTGTGTACACAGTCCGTGGATCAGTATCTGGTGTGTCCACCGCGAGTGTCAATAACCGCAGCGTCTGTACATGAAGTGGACCAGACGATTGATGACGCCATTGTCACCTGGAACCAAACTCCCAGAAAAGCCTGGCGCAATCCATCGGTCTCGGTACGACGTTATTAAGTCTCCTCTGAATTTCACCCCAAAGATGTTCAATCGGGTTTAAGTCCGGACTAAGGGCTGGCCAGTGCATAACGTTGACACCGTTCAGCTGTAGAAAGTCCCGAGTAACTGGCGGTGTGGGCATAGTGTTGTCATGCTGAAAAACGTTGTTTCGATGACGTTCTAAATGTGGTATGACGTGGGGTCTGAGAGCTTGATCGATGTAGCGCACTGCTGTGATGCCGTCTCCTTTCCCTGGACCAACTCTCTGGTTCAGGCTGATTACACCCCAAACAATTACGCTTGGACCCCCCCATGGGTATTGTTCCATGACATATTGGTCAGAGTAACGCTGGCCACGTCGACGCCATATTCTGTTCCTGCCATCTGCAGTTGATACGCAATACCGACTCTCATCTGTGAACAGAACAATTATCCATTGCCTGTGTCGCCAGTTCTGGTGTTGTTGAGCAAACTGTAGACGTTCACGTCGATGGCGAGGGATGAGGATCGGTCCACGGTAAGGTCTATGGCAATGGATGTTCTCTCTGGTGAGACGTCGGCGCATATGGGTCTTCCGTGTGTTCCCGCTGTCTGGCGTCTATTCAGAGTAACAACAAGAATATTGAAAGTCAACTCACCTGTATTACATGTTCGATGGTACCAACGATCACGTGTCACTGCATGTTGGTATAAATACAAAAGATGAATGATAATTATTCGTTATTGGTAAAAACAGAAAAATAAAAAAGTCCTTGTAAATCAAAAAGTCACCATAAAACACTTATAAAATCGCTGTCATAATCAAAATTAATAAAACAAATTAAAACAGGAGGTCCAGCTGACTGATGTTTGACGTCATCAGTGCGGATAGAAAAAATCCCGCGGGGTAATCTTTCGTTCGTTCGTTTCTGAGGTTTTACGTCCACTTTTTTTTAATGCATAATATTAATATTATCTACGATGCAATATATATATAAAACCTCATTGAAATTAAAGATGGCAAAATAAAACTACATTTTTATGCTAACGTTTTCACCGCGATAGTGGCTCTTCATAGACTATTGTTAATTGAATTATTGTTTAATTTTAATGCCTGAAGAGCCGCTATCGCGGTGAAAACGTTAGCATAAAAATGTAGTTTTATTTTGCCATCTTTAATTTCAATCATATATTACCAAAGAGCAGCTTTAATTAACTATTCAACTATATATATATATATATATATATATACAATTTCGTTGGTTTCTGAGGTTTTACGTCCACTTTGCATCCATTTCCACCTATTACTACTATCTGGTGCTTTAACGTCTGCTTCCACAGAAGCAGGCCCGTAGCCAGCTTGCTAGCTTTGGAGGGGCAGTGAAGTTTTTAGGTGGGGGGGGGGGGGGCACACCCGGCACAGTCTACAGTACCGGTAGGTATTTTGGAGCTATGGTCGCAATTTTTTTTTGGGGGGGGGGGACCCTTGCCCCCCTCTGGCAACGGGCCTGCACAGAAGTGATATCCATTTACACCAGTTTCGGATCATTTTATAGCTAGATTACGCTTTAGATCAAAGTAATTAATTTTATTTATTACTTTATCTGGCTTCCTATTTATGTAAATACAACTCAATTACATGCCTTTTTTTTACTACTCCATGCTAATCCCTAACAATTAATAACCAGGGCCGTAACTAGCTCAGAGCAACGAGGGGGCGGGAAGTGTTCTCGGGGGTGCTGTAATATTGACGGACAATGTATATCTATTTTTTTTATGGTCGAAAATATTTTCACAGGGGGGGCTACCCCCCCCCCTCCTAGTTACGGGCCTGTTAATAACGTCTTTAACAGTTTATTTAATAATATTATAAAGTACAACTCAGTTAATTAACTGCTATTCTAATAACGAGGGTGGGGGTGAAACATCCCAATGAAAAATAGGTTGGGATGAAAAGCCCGAGGTGAAATGGTCGTGGGATGAACTGACCCGCGTTATTCAAGTGTACGCGATCGTTAAAAACATTATATTTGATAAAAACAAGGGCTTACTGCCTTACAGTTCCAGGTTTAACACTCAGTAGGCTTTTCTAAAACAAGTAAAACACAAGGTTAAAGGTAACTATAAGCAAACAAAATATTTATAGGCCTGCACTTCCGTCTTCGAAGTTTATTTCAAATTATTATTAATATTTGATAATATTAATAATAATTGAATTTGACTGTCCTATCATGTACACGTGTACAGTAGTACTACAGTAGTAGCTCTATTCATATTTCATGAACGTACCATTTGTTTACTTTCCATAGGTGAATTCTTTTTATAGCATTGCCAACGGGTTTTCAGATACAACCAATGATGCCGTAATTGTGAACTATCAAGAATGAATAATCTGAAAAAATTTCGAAAAAATATTGAAAATTAAAAAAGTTATAGCAAGAAGGCAAACCAGAGGCGCTAAAAAACGGCTTTTTTTAAAAACCGCAAAAAAGTGACCGAAGCCAATATCTCAGTAACTATACAAGGTCTATGAAAATTGCACTAATTAAAGATCTAGATGTACTTGATAAAGCCAAATTGTCGCTATAATATTCTAGTATATATTTTTTATGTTACAGAGGTTCAAAGTTGGGATCCGTGCCAATTTCGCACAAATCACAGCAAAAAAATGGACAAATTTGTGTGTACTTAAATTGTAGCGCTTTGACATTAATACAGAGGCTTATTTTTGAATGAATAAGCACACATTAATTAAAGTGTTTTCAGTCTGTTCTGTTATTTATTTTTTGCATGACAACACCTTAAATCTCAATTTTTGACCGTATGATGTCAATGTCGAAGAGAAACAAGTTTATGTATATAATTGGGCACCTACTGGTTCCGAGGCCATTGACCACTGGCCATTCACAATCATACAACAATTATAAACCGGTTATACTAACGTATACTGTGGATATTTTTAAAAATCATGAAAGTGTGTGGCAAAATGAGAAATAAACCTGTAAGCTTTTGGCAGATTTGCCGCCTTTGCCACGCCAACTGCTTTAGTTGTTTATAAGCTGCCATGTACATCAATTTGAGATTGTTTGTTTCAGGAATGAAAATTAACAATTAAACTATGATTTATATAACAGCTATATTTTTGTGATCAACATCACTACAATTTCAAATAAAAACAGTAACATAGACATAATTAAAACATTTGAATATCTTAAAAGAGTCCAAATAATCCTAAACAATGAGTATCATGATCACTTCAATAGTCTGATAAATATGCAAAATGATAAAAACATAATGTACTGTGCTTAATAACAAATTAAAAGGTAAGCTTATAAAAAGTAAGATATGATCTACATGAAAGAGTATTAAAAAAATTCATTTGTGATACATGTGCATTACGATATACTATATTATAATATCAGTGGTAGAAGTCTAGCTTTCTTGTTGAGACATTATCCCATGAAAATAAAAACAATATAAACATTCAGATGGTGATACATCTTGCCGAGACATTATCTATGTCATAAAAATATTAAAAAAAAAAATTACAATAAGATCAAAATTCATATCTGTTACTTTTCAATATGAAATTAAAAATGTTCACCCACCGGTTTAAAATAAATGATAAAAAAAAGAAACCATTATCACATTTATCAACAAATATAAGATTTCTAATACATGTATCTTCTTACAAAAACAAACAATAATAACAATATAAAATATCACATTATTCATATGCGATATTTTTCAAAATAAACAAAAACATTTGACGCATCAGGCCACTTCTTTCAGGTAGAAAATGTTAAAAATAAAATAAATATTATCACAAATATTGAAATAACAAAAATAAGATTACTAATACTGATTTCAAACAATAAATTAAACTAACTTCTATGATTCATAACAAATTTATAATAATTATGGACTTTCTTGAGAATGCTGAGAAACAGTCAGTTTCAAGCCCCCCTTTTTATAGTCTTTATGCAAATTGTATGAGTAGGCCTATATATCATCATCTTTTGTCTATTTTATGTTGTACCAAGTAATATCAGGGATCGCCTTTGGCTATGTTTGGATTTGGATGAGTATATATTATAAGCAGTAGCTTACTTCTTCAGCTACAGTTCCTGAAAAAAAAAAATCCAAGGTGGTCAACAACATTCACAATTTTTATCCTTTGTTAGTGAAATGTCTGGCTAAAGTTTGGTTGGTAGCTTTAGTAACATTCAATATAATAAAAAAAACCTGTCCAAATCTAACATCATTTTTTTTACACTGAAGTCTGTGGGGGTTTTTAATTATGGTCTGATCCCTGATCAACCACGAGTTACGTCCCTTTAATTCCACATGGTTCAATTTCAGCCATTTTACGAATTCTTACGGGGGATACGGACTTAACAAACGGTCAAACTAAGTAGTTAATGAATTGGGCTTTCCAAATATAGCAAAATCTTGTGCGTCGAGGGCCTTTTTCGAAAATTTCTCTCAACTTCAAATTCATGAAAATTATCAGAAAATCTTACCTCAGCTTCTCAAAATCCTACTCGACAGCAAGTTCATCTATTTTTCTCGATGGTAAACATCACGTGGTCAATGTTTGACACTCTGAATATTCATGACAAGGCATAACACGGCGTATACTTTTCTCTGTCAACTTTTTGTGATGTCGGTAAATAGTACAGCCAGCGCTCCTAGCGGTGTTTAGCATCGCTACTTTTTATTTGAATGTCCATACATCAATTTCCTTTCTGCGACTTTTGAGTATGACACTTATAGTCTGGTGGCTAGCGCAACGGGCGTAGTGAAACATTGATTTCTAGCTGTTGTTGTTTATTATTAAAGATTTAACGTCCAATCTAATGTTTAATGTATAATATTATGTATAAAAAAAGTGGACGTAAAACCTCAGAAACGAATGAACGAAAGATTATCCCTCAGAATTTTTTCTATCCGCACTGATAACGCCAAACATCAGTCAGCTGGACCTCCAGTTTTAATTAGACGCCCACATTTTCATGTGGACGTATATTGTCGTCGCCCCTGTCTACAGGTCACAATTCTTAGCCGATCTCCAAAAGATCTTTGCTGCTTTCGATATTGGCATGTATCGGATCGAAACTTCATGGATTATGGCCCCTGTTTGTACAAAAAATCACGTTTTTAGCTTGTGGACCCTATAGAGGTCACAATTTTTATCCGATTTTGTTGAAACTTGAAATGTAAGTTTATAACCCACAGATCTCGGTTCCTTTCGATATTCGCGCATATCGGACTGTAACTTCCTGAATTATGGTCATAATTTTTATCCGATTTAAAAAAACGTATTATTATATCACTGATACACCCTAAGGACTACTGAGTTTGAATGTCGTGAAAATCGGCCCAAAATTGACAGACAAAATGGCTGCCGTTCGTTCTCAAATATCGTAAAAATATGGTATATCAAGGTTGTGGACCCTATAGAGGTCACAATGTTTATCCGATTTTGTTGAAACTTGAAATGTAAGTTTTTAACCCAAACATTTCGGTTCCTTTCGATATCCGCGTATATCGGACCATAACTTCCTGAATTATGGCCCCGGATTGTACGAAAAATCTCGTTTTTAGCTTGTGGACCCTATAGAGGTCATAATTTTTATCCAATTTAAAAAACTGTATTATCATATCACTGTTACACCCTAAGGACGACTGAATTCGAATTTCGTGAAAATCAACCCAAAATTGACAGACAAAATGGCCGCCGTTTGTTTTCAAATAGCGTAAAAATACGGTATATCAAGGTTGTGGACCCTATAGACGTCAAAATTTTATCTGATTTTGTTGAAACTTGAAATGTAAGTTTATAACACAAAGATCTCAGTTCCTTTCGATATTCGCGCATATAGAATGTAATTTCCTGATTTATGACCCTTGATGGTAGCAAAAATCACTTTCTTGTTAGCTTGTTCTCTATCCATCTCTCGAAAATGTGGGCGTATCCTGCCTGGCAGCCACTGGTGATATTTGCGCATGGCGGATCATAACTTCCTGAATTATGGCCCCTGATTGTACGATTTTGATTCTTTTAGAAATTCGTGCATATCAGATCGTAACTTCCTCAATTATGGCCCTTGATTGTACGAAAAATCTCGTTTTTAGCTTGTGGTCACTCGAGAGGTAACAATTTGTATCCGATTTAAAAAAACGTTTGAATATATCACCGTTACACCCTAGTGATGGCTTAGTTTGAATTTTGTGAAAATCATACCAAAATTGCCGAACAAAATCGCCGCAACTTGTACGCAAATTGTGTAAATATATGTTATATCAAGATTGTGGACCCTCTAGAGGCCACAATTTTGATCTTGAATCGTGTTTTTAGCTTGTGGTCCCTCTAGATGTCACAATTTTTATCTGATTTAAAAAAACATTTGAATATATCACCGTTACACCCTAATGATAGTTGAGTTCAAATTTCATGAAAATCGGACCAAAACTGCCAAACAGAATGGCCACCCCTTGTATGCAAATAGTGTATATATGGTATATCAAGCATGTGGTCCCTCTAGAGGCCACAATTTTGATCTGATTTTGATGAAACTTGAAATACATGTTTATAAACCAAAGATCTTGGTTCCTGTTGATATTTGTAACTTCCTAAATTATGGCCCTTGATTGTACGGAAAATTGCGTTTTTAGGTTGTGGTCCCGCTAGAGGTCACAATTTTTATCGGATTGAAAAAAACGTTTGAATATTTCACCGTAATACCCTAATGACGGCTGAGTTAGAATTTCGTGAATGGCCGCCCCTCATACGCAAATAGTGTAAATATATGGTATATCAAGGTTGTTAATCCGATTTTGATGAAACTTGAAATATATCTTTATAACCCAAAGACATTGGTTCCTGTCGATATTCGCGTACATCGAATCGTAACTTTCTGAATTATGGCCCTTAATTTTACAAAAAATCGCTTTTTGTTTAGCTTGTTCTCTATCCATCTCTTGCTAAATGTGGGCGTATCCTGCCTGGCAGCCGCTGGTTTTTTATAACTTAGTAAGTTATGATTAGTACAACCAGCATGTTAACTGAAGAATGTCGTCATTCCATATCAGCTTGCATACACAGTGATAAGATATGTAGTGCCCAGTGACGTCATGCGCCAATCAACTGGATTACGGTTGTAATCAAAAAATACTTGTAATCAAGTATGCAACTTTTACATTGTCATTTGATGTGCTCTTTAAGAGCCATTCCACGAGAAAACCATGCAATATCAGGTAGATGTTCGAAGGTGGGTGTCAACCGATTAAGTTCATACACACAGGGTTTGGTCGACCCACCGAGCCTACTCCCCAGCCAAAATCGCCGATTTCAGAAATCAACCTTTTCCAAGATACAGGTCGAGTACGTTTTTCGGCTGATTTTTGTCATTTTTAGGCCAAATTTTAGCTATTTTTGTCGCACTACTACCGCTGTTGCATGACCCTGGCGAACTAGGTTTTGGTTGTTCGTGATAGTCGGGGTCTTTCCCTATCACATTATCATGGTCACCCGGTTCAAGTTCATTTTCCATAGGTGTCAGGAGACTACACAAGATACGTGTCTGGAGATACCTGAAATGTACCCTATCTTCAGATCGCGATAACTCCACTGGAGCAGGGTTTGCGATAAAAATTAAAATCAATTTATTTGCAGCTTGACCAGTTCTAACAACATAAGAAATAAAATCGTTGTCAACTATCTTGCAAAGTATGAAAATTTGTGTCGAAAGTTACCAAAAACTTTAGTTTTGATTGGGATACATCGGCCGATTATTCAGGTACCCAATCGCCAATATTGTTATTCAAAGGGTCAATATATCAACTCCGGCTCCCCTTCAACCCGCTTTGCCAAAATATTCAGTCTCGATGTGGTTTGGTATCCAGTCTACAAATCTACAAGTCTACATCGGCCGATTATTCAGGTACCCAATCGCCAATATTGTTATTCAAAGGGTCAATATATCAACTCCGGCTCCCCTTCAACCCGCTTTGCCAAAATATTCAGTCTCGGTGTGGTTTGGTATCCAGTCTACAAATCCAAGATGGCGTCCCCCAGTGAATATGGATTTTTGCAAATTCTCGATCTAGAATGATTATTTTTTTTTTTTCTATGAAACATGAGAAATTTCTATTCAAAATTTTGAAAAACAGTCGAGTTACAGCAGATAAAAGTCGACAATTATGCAAAACAGACCCAATTTCCATGAAAATCGCCTATTTAGTCTTCACCGTGACCTTCAATCGCGAGGTCATCAGGGATACAATTTGAAGTTCACACGTTGCTCTATCGAAAAACCAGATCTCATTCGAAAATAATGAAAAACAAATGAGTTAGAGTTGGGATTTCAAAAATGTTCTTGTCCGACATTTTACCGAAAATAAAGGGGTATAATTCTTATCGTTATTTAAGAAGACAGATTCATACCACAATTAAAAATGATGTGTCAACAAAAGATTCAAATCAGCACGTAATAAAAATAGGAACACCTCGCTATTTTTGTACGCCCACATTCTCGTGTGGATGTATATTGTCGTCGCCCCTGTCCGCCCGTCCGTCAACAATTTGTTTATGGGCACTCTACAGGTCACAATTTTTATCCATTTTCAACACAACTTGAAATATAGTTTTATGCCCCTAAGAATTCGGCTCCTGTCGATATTGGTATGTATCGGACTATGCCCCCTGAACTTAAGAAAAATCACTTTTTTAGCTTGTGGACACTGCACATGGAGGATACAATTTTTATCTGATTTTGATGAAACTTTAAAGGTACGTTTATAACCCAATTAACTCGGTTCCTTTCGATATTCTCGCATATCAGATCTTAACTTCCTGGATTATGGCCCATGATTGTACAAAATGTCGCGTTTTTAGCTTGTAGCCCCTCTAGAGGTCACAATTTTTTTTTTGATTTTTAAAAATGCTAATGATGGCAGAGTTCGAATTTCGTGAAAATCCGGTCGAAACTGCCGGACAAAATGGCCGCTCCTCGTATGCAAATAGTGCAAAAGTATGTAATTGCAAGGTTGTGGACACCCTCGAGGTCACAATTTATATCTGATTTTCATGAGACTTAAAATAATTATGTTTAGATCCCAAAGATCTCGGACCCTGTCGATATTCGCGCATGTCTGACCGTAACTTCGTGGAATATGACCCCTGATTTTAAGAAAAATCGCGTTGTTAGCTTGAAGTTCCTCTTGAGGTCACAATTTTTATCCGATTTTAAAAAACGTTTCAATATATCCCCGTTATGCCCTAATGACAACTAATGAAAATTGGAGCGAAACCGCTGTACAAATTGGCCGCTCCTCATAAGCAAATAGTGTAAAAGTATGTAATTCCAAGATTGTGGACACTCTAGAAACACAATTTTTATCCGATTGTGATGAAACTTAAAATGTATAAGATCTTGGTTCCTTTCGATATTCGCGCATATCACATCGTAGCTTCCTAAAATATGATCCTTGAATATACAAAAAACACGTTTTGATCTTGTAGTCCCTCTTAATGTCACAATTTTTATTCGACTTGATGAAACTTTTATATTATATACTTTTATATCCCAAAGATCTTGGTTCCTTTTGATATTGTCGCATGTCGGACTGTAACATACTGGATGATGGCCAATGGTTGTACGAAAAATCACTTTTTATTTAGCTTGTTCTCTGTCTATCTTTTGCAAAATGTGGTTGTATCTTGCTTGGCAACCACTTATTATAATGACTGTCCATTGATTTTGGGGTGTTATATACTATTAGGATAATATGTGACATCAAGGACTAGTTTCTACATGCTGTCGGTTGATATCAATGGATTAAACTTTCCGACAATGGAGAAACCACCGAGGTAATCACGTAAATAAGGTTGATACTCATTATTGGATTGATGAAAAGTCCGACAAAAGAGAAGCAATGATTTCTATTCAAGATTAGATTGGTGAATTTCCCGACAAAGTAATAAGTCAGTCAAGCGAGGCAAATTAAACAGGTAAACAACGTAGGTGTATAGACGGTATAATAAGAGAAATACGTTGATCACGTAATTACCTAATCAATCCAGCCTATTATCAACAATTATCGGGTTTATTATATTAATTTTGAAATTTTGAATATTATTCATCATACCTTGATGTCCGATTGGGCATATTCCTGGCCGGACATTTGGAAAATAGCGTAACGGGCGAAATCCCAACAGTTAAGAAACTGAAATTCGACACGAAAAGTGACGAATTTCGTAACTTTCGACACAAATTTTCATGCTGTTAAGGGTTAGTTGACAACGATTTTATTTTTTATGTTGTTAGAACAGGTCAAGCTGCAAATAAAACGATTTTCATTTTTATCGCAAACCTTGCTCCTGTGGAGTTATCGCAATTTGAAGAAAGAGTATAATTCAGGTGTCTGCAGACACGTATTTTGTGTAGTGCCATGACACCTACGGAAAGAGAGGCTGCATTGGGTGACCATTATAATAGGGTAGGGTGAGACCTGGACTATAATCACCAACCAAAACTTAGTTCGCTATTGGTCGATTAACGGCTATAGTAACGCTACATAAAATGGTCGAAATTTGACCCGAAAATGACAAAAATCAACCGAAAAACGTAATCGGGCTGTATCTCAGAAACGGTTGATTTCTCAAATCGATGATTTTGGCTGGGGAGTAGGCTCGATGGGTTGACCAAACCCTGTAAATATGAACTCAATCGGCCGACCCCCCCCTTCGAACCTTCTGCATGGTTTTCTCGTGGAATGGCTCTTAAGTTTTAGTTTTATAATAACTTTGGTCATATCGCTAACAACAATGTCTATTTATTCATACGTTTATTAAACTCAATGTTGAACAATGACCACAGCCATTATAAACAAGCTTTCATTACAATGAAAGGCCAACATATTGGATAATTATTGTACATATAACATCAGATATCCCCTTGGAAAGATTCTAATGCTAACTATGACCTCTATTTTGTTCAGAAGGTATTCTGCAACCTTCTTTCAACTAGTTACCCTTTATTTGCCGAAAACAATACTTCCTATATTCTATTTCTGTAATCATACTTTTCAGGTAGAAGATGTCTGAATTTAATCATAACATAAAAGTGAGCCCATATAGGAATTGGAAGAACCCTGATTTACCAAGTAAATGCACTTACAGTAAAGATAATGAAGAATCACCACATATTCATCATAAAGTGTAGGTTATTCTTAAATCTAAGTTTTTGTTAATCAACACCAAATATCAGGGCTTGCCACGAGACGCGAGTGATTAAGTACTCGCGCAAATATAAAAAATAATTTAATCAGAAATAATGGAATATCGTAATAAAAAAAGCCGTAAACAATTTGTATGCCTTCATATTGATGCACTATTGTGCACGCGGCGTGTCTTTCCAGTGCCACCTGTTGTTACTAAAAATACTTTGAGACGCGTACTGCCAGGCGTTTTTTAAGCCGATGTCCTTTGCCATGTCTGGATAATAAAAAATTGAGCGGATATTGTCGTTTCTATTGCAATTCTTTCGTAAATTGTGTGCTAGAAATAGTAACTTTTTAAAATCTTTGTCTACTAAAGGAAAAGTTTCGTCAGATATCATGAACTATTAGGAAGTAAAAGAGTATGCATTGCCATATATGTGTGAAATAGCTTTATTCAACGTCCGCTTCCATCGAAGTGACAAGAGCATTGCCATTAGGCACATGAAATTTAAATGGCTACTCACGCACATCATTCTGTGTGAGTAAATACATGTACTCGCCTCACTCGCGCAAGTCTATATTTGCGTGAGTAGTCATCTACTCGCCTCCAATTTGCTCGTGGCAAGCCCTGAATATCAAATCAAGTGAATTGATCCGGGGGCCAGTCATATGCGTCCTCTGCATTGTACAGTTCCGGGTTTGTAGTGATACAGACTCCACTCAAAATGAAAAAAAAACCCAGCGATTTACACGAAAGACGCAACAGAAATAATGTGACCAGTCTTGATGGTGGTTGTCTCCTGAATTGCGTTTCTTCATGGCGATATTCTGCCACATTAAACCCCATTTCAGTTCATTTCTATAGTGTGATTCATAGGTATATCAGTAAATTACTTAAGGACTGATGAAAGTGGACAGTTTACCCAATACTACCCAATACTACCCAATACCACCCAATACTAAAGATACATTATGGGAGATTCGATAATGAGTTGGCAGTTCTTACTATAATAATTAAAAACTAGATAACGTAAAGGCAATTTGCTGAAAATTTCATTCAAATTGATCTACTATGAACCGAGAACTAAGCGAATGAAATTTCTGCCTAGCCTCGGTCATCATTACTAAAGTCAGTACGATAAACAGCATAATCTCGATTATCCATTTAATCGTTTAATCGAGAAGGAAAGTTATGCTGTAAATCGGCTCACAATCCACTTAAGATCGCAGGCTAGCGATGCCATCTAGAGTTGATTATGGTCTGGATAAGTTAATTAATGTCTAATTAATAATTTAGATAACATTTCAGGCCTAAAGAAAGACCTGCAATAGACAGATTTAGCTCTTGCATAATGTATGTTAATTAAATACTACCTCATTATTCTGATACTTCAATTACATAAAACAAATTGCATTAATTTGTGTTAAACAATGTCTCGCTATGCCAATTATCTCCTTTGAACACCCAATACTTAAAACTATTAATCCTTGCTATCAAAAATCAATCTATTTCCGTAAGATAATGGCCCAATATTACAAAAACAAACAAATAAGATAAAGGTACAATTATTTGGATAAAAAATATGTGGAAAATAAATTGTTTATTCAATGTTTAGCTGTTCAGTTTATGACTGATACTATAAATAGATATTTCAAATGTTTACACTTTTTATAGGAATTCATTCATTGATATTGAAGTAATTGAAGAATTCTCAGTTAAGATAATAAAAAGGTGGGGTTTTTTTATAAACAAAATTTTAACATGTAAAGAAAAAAGACAAAAGAAATATACCTTTACAATATAATACATAAATAAAACTACATTCAATCAATTGCACTTCCATTCAAAGTGGGCTAATAATAATAATATAAATGATAACAATAATAATAATACTGAAATTTAAGGGAAAAAAAAAATGAAAAAAAATATATATACAGTGGACTCTTGTCACTTCCCACATCTGAAGTCCCATCAGATGATTTGCGTATGTGGGGGTTTCGTATTTTATAGATCATTACAATAGCCAGAACTTGCCGTTTATTATTGTTCCATGCATATCTATTCATATTCCTTCATATTACATCGAACTTGTAATGGGGTTTGTTTACATGTGGAAATTGTGTAAAAAGCCGCCATTTTTATACGCCCACATTTTCATGTGGAGGTATTATGCCGTCGCCCCTGTCCGTCCGGACGTCCGTCCGTCCACAATTGTTTGTGGACTCTCTACAGGTCACAATTCTTATCCGATTTCGATGAAACTTGAAAGATAGGTTTATCCCCAAAAGATCTCAGCTGGTTTCGATATTGGCATGTATCGGATCGAAACTTCATGGATTATGGCCCCTGTTTGTACGAAAAATCACGTTTTTAGCTTGTGGACCCTATAGAGGTCACAATTTTTATCCGATTTTGTTGAAACTTGAAATGTAAGTTTATAACCCAAAGATCTCAGTTCCTTTTGATATTTGCGCATATCGGACAGTAACTTCCTGAATTATGGCCCCTGATTGTACGAAAAATCACGTGTTTAGCTTGTGGACCCTATAGAAGTCATAATTTTTATCCGATTTGAAAAAACGTTCTATTATGTCACCGTTACACCCTAAGGATGACTGAGTTTGATTTTCGTGAAAATCCGCCCAAAATTGACAGACAAAATGGCCGCCGTTCGTTCCGAAATAGCGTAAGAATATGGTATATCAAGGTTGTGGACCCTATAGGGGTCACAATTTTTATCCGATTTTGTTGAAACTTGAAATGTAAGTTTATAACCCAAAGATCTCGGTTCCTTTAGATATTCGTGCATATCGGACCGTAACTTCCTGAATTATGGCCCCTGATTGTACGAAAAATCACGTTTTTAGCTTGTGGACCCTATAGAAGTCATAATTTTTATCCGATTTAAAAAAACGTTCTATTATATCACCATTACACCCTAAGGATGACTGAATTCGAATTTCGTGAAAATCGGCCTAAAATTGACAGACAAAATGGCCGTCATTCGTTCCCAAATAGCGTAAGAATATGGTATATCAAGGTTGTGGACCCTATAGGGGTCACAATTTTTATCCGATTTTGTTGAAACTTGAAATGTAAGTTTATATCCCAAAGATCTCGGTTCCTTTCGATATTCGTGCATATCGGACCGTAACTTCCTGACTTATGACCCCTGATTGTACGAAAAATCACGTTTTTAGCTTGTGGACCCTATAGAAGTCATAATTTTTACCCGATTTAAAAAAACGTATTATTATATCACCGTTACACCCTAGGGACGACTGAATTCGAATTTCGTGAAAATCGGCACAAAATTGACAGACAAAATGGCCGCCATTCGTTCTCAAATAGCGTAAGAAAATGGTATATCAAGGTTGTGGACCCTATAGAGGTCACAATTTTTATCCGATTTTATTGAAACTTGAAATGTAAGTCTATAACCCAAAGATCTCGGTTCCTTTCGATATTCGCGCATATCGGACCGTAATTTCCTGAATTATGGCCCCTGATTGTATGAAAAATCGCGTTTTTAGCTTGTGGACCCTATAGAGGTCATCATTTTTATCCGATTTCAAAAAACGTATTATTGCATCACCATTACACCCTAAGGACGACTGAGTTTGAATTTCATGAAAATCGCCCCAAAATTGACAGACAAAATGGCCGCCCTTCGTTCTCAAATAGCGTAAAAATATGGTATATCAATTTTGTGGGCCCTAAAGAGGTCACAATTTTAATCCTATTTTGATGAAACTTGAAATGTAAGTTTATAACCCAAAGATCTCGGTTCCTTTCGATATTCGCGCATATCGAACCGTAATTTCCTGAATTATGGCCCCTGATTGTATGAAAAATCGCATTTTTAGCTTGTGGACCCTATAGAGGTCATAATTTTTATCCGATTTAAAAAACTGTATTATTATATTACCGTTCCACCCTAAGGACAGTTGAGTTTCAATTTTGTGAAAATCGCCCCAAAATTGACAGACAAAATGGCCGCCGTTCGTTCTCAAATAGCGTAAAAATATGGTATATCAAGGTTGTGGACCCTATAGAGGTCACAATTTTTATCCGATTTTGTTGAAACTTGAAATGTAAGTTTATAACACAAAGATCTCAGTTCCTTTCGATATATGCGCATATCGAATTGTAATTTCCTGAATTATGGCCCTTGATTGTAGGAAAAATTACTTTCTTGTTAGCTTGTTCTCTATCCATCTCTCGAAAATGTGGGCGTATCGTGCCTGGCAGCCGCTGGTGTGAATATGCCGTCGACTTGTGGTTTAGAATTTTCTATTGGTCAATATGTGATAAAATCAGCCAATGGGAGCGTGGGTTCCGAATTAGCGTTTATGCAGTGTGAAAGTTTATGCACGTGCATTTCCTAGTTGCATAGTGTATAAAGGGGTATATAAGCCTGGTCAGATTCAGTTTTGGCCAAACAGTCGGTGGGTGCGATCTGCGAACCTCGCATGAATAATTAATTATTCAATTCGAGGTAATCATTCCAAGGGGAGACTTTGTCTTTGGTGCCTCGCAAGTCCTTCAGGAGTAATCACTTATTCCGCTCGGGGCAAGCAAGATCTCCAGAGTAGAGTTTCATCTTTTTGTTAATTCGGGCTGAGGCAGGCGTAACGCTATAGTGTTTATATTTTATTGTAAAGTTAGGAGTTTCTAATTATTTGAGGACTCTGTTTGCTTTCCTTGGTACAAATATTGTTAGTTCGGGCTGAAGCAGCTATGGTGTTTATATTTTAGAGTTATGAGTTTCTGATTATTTCAGAGTTCCGTTTTGGTGATATAAGATTTGGTGCTTACCTTAGTACAAATATTGTTAGTTCGGGCTGAGGCAGGCGAATTATTGTTTATATTTTGTTATGAGTTCTGAGTTCTAATTGATTCTGAGGGTTTTCGCTCCGAAGTTATAAGATGTGGTCTAAGCGAACGCTCCGTTTCTTGGTTCTGTAAAGCGGACATAGGTGACATATGGATAGTTG